TCGGATATCTGTTATATACCATTCTCTCGGGCATCCTGTGCATACCATTCTGTCGGCCATCCGCTATATACCATTCTGTCGGCCATCCGCTGTATACCATTCTGTTGGGTTCAGCGGTATACCATTTATGTCGGGTATCCATTTATGCCATTCTATCGGGCATACCCTGTATACCATTCTGTCGAATATCCGCTGTAAATCAATTTGTTGGACATCCCTAGATATCTTTCTGTCGGGTATCCGTTCTACACCATACTGCCAGGCATCCGCTGTATACCATTCTGTCGGGCATCGGCTGTAAACCATTTTGCCGGGCATCCGCTGTATTCCATTTTGTCGGGTATCCCATGTATACCATTTTGTCGGGAATCCGATGTAGATCATTCTGTCAGGTATCCGCCGTATACCATTCTATCGGGCATCAGCTGTATACCACAATGTCGGCCACCCACTGTGTACCATTATGTCGGACTTCCCCTTGATACCATTCTGTAAGGCATCTGCTGTATACCATTCTGTCGCGTATCCCATGTATACCATTCTGTCGAGTATCCGCTGTTTATCATTCTATCGGGCATTTGTTGTATACCACTCTGCAAGGCATCCGCTGTATACCATTTTGTCGGGCATCAGCGGTATACTATTTTGACGGACATCTGCTTTATACCATTCTGTCGGGCATCCAGTGCATACCAATATGTCGGGAATCCGCTGTATACCATTCTGTCGACCATCCGATGTATACCATTCTGTCGGGTATTCCCTGTATACCATTTTGTAGGGCATTCGCTGTATACCATTCTGTCGAATATCCATGTATACTATTCTGTCCGGTATCCGCAGTATACCATTCTGGTAGGTATTGGCTGTATTCTATTCTGTCCGGCATCCGCAGTATACCATTTTGTCGGGCATCCGATGTAGATAATTCTGTCAGGCATCTGCTCTATATCATTCTGTCGGGTATCCTATGCATACCATTTTGTCGGGTATCCGCTGTATACAATTCTGCCAGGTATCCGCTGTATGCCATTCTGTCTGGCATCAGCGGTATACCACACTGTTGGCCACCCACTGTATACCATTCTGTCGGGTATCCGCTGTATACCATTTTGTTAGGTATCCGCTGTATACCATTCTGCGGGCATCTGCTGTATTCCATTCTGTTGGGTTCAGCGGTATACCATTTATGTCGGGTATCCATTTATGCCATTCTATTGGGCATACCCTGTATACCATTCTGTCGAATATCCGCTGTAAATCATTTTGTTGGACATCCCTAGATATCTTTCTGTCGGGTATCCGTCGTTCTATACCATACTGCAAGGCATATGCTGTATACCATTCTGTCGGGCATCGGCTGTAAACCATTTTGCCGGGCATCCGCTGTATACCATTCTTTCAGGCATCCTCTGTATACCATTCAGTCGGGCATACCCTGTATACTATTTTGTCGGCCATACGCTGTATACCATTCTGTTTTGCATCTGTTGTATACCATTCTGCCAGTCATCCGGTGTATACCATTCTGTCGAGCATACCCAGTATTCTGTATCTGTCGCTGTATTGCATTCTGTCGGTATCCGCTGTATACCATTCTGCTGGGTGTCCACTGTATACAATTATGCGAGCATCACCAGTATACCATTCTGTCGGACATCTGCTATATACCATTCTCTCAGGCATCCTGTGCATACAATTCAGTCGGGCATACGCTGTATACCATTCTTTTGAACATCCGCTATATACCATTCTGTCGAATATCTATGTATACCATTCTGTCGGGCATCCTGGTTCATACCATTCTGTCGGCCATCCGCTGTATACCATTCTGTCGGGCATCATCTATATACCATTCTGTCGGAGATCTGTTGTATACCATTCTCTCGGGCATCCTGGTTCATACCATTCTGTCGGCCATCCGCTGTATACCATTCTGTCGGCCATCCGCCGTATACCATTCTGTCGGCCATCCGCTGTATACCATTCTGTCGGGTATCCATTTATGCCATTCTATCGGGCATACCCTGTATACCATTCTGTCGAATATCCGCTGTATACCATACTGTCGGTATCCGCTCTATTGCATTCTGTCGTGTATCATCTCTATACCATTCTGTCGGATATCTGTTATATACCATTCTCTCGGGCATCCTGTGCATACCATTCTGTCGGCCATCCGCTTTATACCATTCTGTCGGCCATCCGCTATATACCATTCTGTCGGCCATCCGCTGTATACCATTCTGTTGGGTATCCGCTGTATACCATTCTGTTAGGTATCCGCTGTATACCATTCTGTCGGGCATCTGCTGTATACCATTCTGTTAGGTATCCGCTGTATACCATTCTGCGGGCATCTGCTGTATTCCATTCTGTTGGGTTCAGCGGTATACCATTTATGTCGGGTATCCATTTATGCCATTCTATTGGGCATACCCTGTATACCATTCTGTCGAATATCCGCTGTAAATCATTTTGTTGGACATCCCTAGATATCTTTCTGTCGGGTATCCGTCGTTCTATACCATACTGCAAGGCATATGCTGTATACCATTCTGTCGGGCATCGGCTGTAAACCATTTTGCCGGGCATCCGCTGTATACCATTCTTTCAGGCATCCTCTGTATACCATTCAGTCGGGCATACCCTGTATACTATTTTGTCGGCCATACGCTGTATACCATTCTGTCTTGCATCTGTTGTATACCATTCTGCCAGTCATCCGGTGTATACCATTCTGTCGAGCATACCCAGTATTCTGTATCTGTCGCTGTATTGCATTCTGTCGGTATCCGCTGTATACCATTCTGCTGGGTGTCCACTGTATACAATTATGCGAGCATCACCAGTATACCATTCTGTCGGACATCTGCTATATACCATTCTCTCAGGCATCCTGTGCATACAATTCAGTCGGGCATACGCTGTATACCATTCTTTTGAACATCCGCTATATACCATTCTGTCGAATATCTATGTATACCATTCTGTCGGGCATCCTGGTTCATACCATTCTGTCGGCCATCCGCTGTATACCATTCTGTCGGGCATCCGCTGTATACCATTCTGTCGGGCATCATCTATATACCATTCTGTCGGAGATCTGTTGTATACCATTCTCTCGGGCATCCTGGTTCATACCATTCTGTCGGCCATCCGCTGTATACCATTCTGTCGGCCATCCGCCGTATACCATTCTGTCGGCCATCCGCTGTATACCATTCTGTCGGGTATCCATTTATGCCATTCTATCGGGCATACCCTGTATACCATTCTGTCGAATATCCGCTGTATACCATACTGTCGGTATCCGCTCTATTGCATTCTGTCGTGTATCATCTCTATACCATTCTGTCGGATATCTGTTATATACCATTCTCTCGGGCATCCTGTGCATACCATTCTGTCGGCCATCCGCTTTATACCATTCTGTCGGCCATCCGCTATATACCATTCTGTCGGCCATCCGCTGTATACCATTCTGTTGGGTATCCGCTGTATACCATTCTGTTAGGTATCCGCTGTATACCATTCTGTCGGGCATCTGCTGTATACCATTCTGTAGGGCATTCGCTGTATACCATTCTGTCGTTCATCCGCAGTATAGGATTATGTTGGGTATCCGCTGTATACAATTATGCCAGGTTTCCGCTGTATACCATTCTGTCGGGCATCCGCTGTATACCATTCTATTGAGGCGTCTACTGTATACCATTCTGTCGGTTAGGTATTCTCTGTATATTATTCTGTCAGGCATCCGCTGTATATCATTCTTTCGGGCATCCGGTGTATACCATTCTGTCGGGTAATCGCTGTATACCATTCTGTCGGACATCAACTTTGTTCAATTCTGTCAGTCATTCGCTGTAAACCATTCTCTCTGGCATCCAGTGCATACCATTCTGGCGGCCATCTGCGGTATACCATTCTGTCGGGCATCAGCTGTATACCATTCTGTCGGGCATCCGGTGTATACCATTCTCTTGGCCATCTGCTGTATACCATTATATCGGGCATCAACTGTGTACCATTCTGTCGACCATCCGCTGTGTACCATTCTGTCGGGTATCCTCTGTATACCATTATCTGAGGCATCCTCTGTATATTATTTTGTCGGCTATCCGCTGTATACCATTCTGTCGGGGATAAGCTGTATACCACTCTGTCGGACATCCGTTGTATACCATTCTGTCGGGTATCCCATGTATACCATTCTGTCAGGTATCTACTTTATACCATTATATCGGGTATCCACTATATATACCATTCTGTCGGGCATCCGCTGTATACCATTCCATTGAGGCATCTACTGTATACCATTCTGTCGGGCATCCGCTGTGTACCATTCTGTCAGTTGGGTATTCTCTGTATATTATTCTGTCAGGCATCCGCTGTATGCTATTTTTTCGGGCATCCGCTGTATACCAATCTTTCGGGCATCGGCTGTATACCATTCTGTCGGACATACGCTGTAAACCTTTCTGTCGGGCGTCCGCTGTATGCTATTCTTTCGGGCGTCCGCTGTATATCATTGCGTCGGGTGTCTGCTGTATACCATTCTGTCTGGTATCCGCTATATACCCTTTTGTCGGGCGTCCGCTGAAAAACTTCTGTCGGGTATCCGCTGTGTACATGTCGAGTAATCGTCGGTATATAACCCACATACCAGACATTTTCCCACCTTTTGTCAGCATACCAAACAGTATTTGACTGTTGGGCAGGATACCAGACAATGTCCAACACTTTATCAGCATACCATATTGTGTTTCAACTGTTTATCAGGATATCAGACAGTTTCCAACAGTTTGACAGCATACCAGTCTCACATTTGATCAGCATAGCAGACAGTATTCCGTGGTTTGTCAATATACCAGAAAGTGTCCCACAGTTTGTCAGCATATCAAGGAGTGTCCCAGAGTTTGTCAATATACCAAACAGTATTTGAAAGTTGATCAGGATACCAGATAGTGTTGCTTAGTTAGTCAGCATACCAGACAATGTTTCAACAGTTTACCAACAAACCAGACAGTGTCCCAAACTTTGGCGGTATACCTGATAGTGTCTCACTGTTGATCAGCATTCCAGATTGTGTCCAATGGTATGTTAGCATACCAGCCAGCGTCCAATGGTTTGTTAGCATACCAAATAGTCATATACAGTTGATCAGGATACCAGACACTGTCCAACACTTTATCAGCCTACCATATTGTGTTTCAACTGTTTATCAGGATATCAGACAGTTTCCAACAGTTTGACAGCACAACAGACAGTGTCCAAAAGTTTGGCATCATACCAGACAGTGTTTCAAAGTTGGTCAGCATACCAGACAGTGTCCCACAGTTTGTTAGCATACCAGACAGTGTCTCACAGTTGATCTGCATACCAGACAGTGTCCAAGTGTTTGTCAGCATACCAGACAATATTCCATGGCTTGTCAATATACCACACAGTGTCCAACAGTTTATCAGCATAGCAGACAGTATTCAATGGTTTGTGGATTACCAGACAATGTTCCGCAGTTTGTCAGCATATCAGATAGTGTCTCACTGGTGGTCAGGTTACCAGACATTGTACCACTATTTGTCAGCATACCAGACAGTATTCAATGGTTTGTCAATATACCACACAGTGTCCCACAGTTGTCAATACATATCAGACAGTGTCCAACAGTTGATCAGTATACCAAACAGAGTTTCACAGTTTGTCAGCATACCAGACAGTATCCCAGTATTTGTAAGCATACCCGACAGTGTCCAACAGTTTATCAGCATGTCATATTATGTTTCAACTGTTTATCAAGATATCAGACAGTTTACAACGGTTTAACAGCATAACAGACAGTGTCAGTCAGTTTGGGAGTGTACCAGACAGTGTACAACAGTTTGTCAGCATATCAGACAGTGTACAACAGTTTGTCAGCATACCAGATTGTGAATCAACTGTTGTTCAAGATATTAGACAGTTTCCAAGAGTTTGGCAGCCTAACAAACAGTGTCTTACAGTTGGTCAGTATACCAAAAAGTGTCCAACAGTTTGTCAGCATAGCAGACAGTATTCCAAGGTTTGTCAATATACCAGACAGTATCCCACAGTTTGTCAGCATATCAAAGCGTGTCCCAGAATTTGTCATTATACCAATCTCTCTCCCACAGTTTGTCAGCATACTAAACAGTATTTGAAAGTTGATCAGGATACCAAATAATGTCCCACATTTTGTCAGCATACCAGACAGTGTCCAACACTTTATCAGTATACCAAACAGAATCCAACAGTTTACCAGCATACCAGACAGTGACTTACAGTTTGTCAGCATAGACAGTATTCCAAGGTTTTTCAGCATAACTGATAGTGTCCCACAGTTTGGCAATATACTAGTCCGTGTTCCACAGTTGGTCGGCATATCAGACAGTGTCTTACAGTTTGTCAGCATATCAGACAGTGTCTTTCAGTTTTTCATCATATCAGACAGTGTCCCACATTTTGTCAGCATACCAGACAGTGTCCAACACTTTATCAGTATACCAAACAGAATCCAACAGTTTACCAACATACCAGACAGTGACTTACAGTTTGTCAGCATAGCAGACAGTATTCCAAGGTTTTTCAGCATAACTGATAGTGTCCCACAGTTTGGCAATATACTAGTCCGTGTTCCACAGTTGATCGGCATATCAGACAGTGTCTTACAGTTTGTCAGCATACCAGACAGTGTCCAACACTTTATCAGTATACCAAACAGAATCCAACAGTTTACCAGCATACCAGACAGTATGTCACAGTTTCCCAGCATAACAGATTGTGTTTCAACTGTTTATCAGGATACATGACAGTGTCCCACAGTTTGTAAGCGTACCAGACAGTTCACGACCGTTCGTAAGCATACCATACAGTGTCCAACAGTTTGTCAGGTTACAAGACAGTGTCCCAAAATTTGGCAGCATACCTGACAGTGCCCCACAGTATGTCAGCATACCAGACAGTGTCCCACAGTTTTTTTTTCAATATACTAGACCGTGTTCCACAGTTTATCGCCATACCAGACAGTGTCAAACAGTTATTTAGCATAACCGATAGTGTCCAACAGTTTGTCAGCATACAAGACAGTTCCCAACAGTTTACCAGCATACCAGACAGTGTTTTACAGTTTGTCAGCATATCAAACAGTGTCCCACATTTTGTCAGCATACCAGAAAGTATCTATTAGTTTGTCAGCATACCAAACAGTGTCGTATAGATTCTCATCCTACCCGACAGTGTCCAACACTATATCATTATGCCAAACAGAATTCAACAGATTACCAGCATATCGGACAGTATTTCACAGTTTGTCAGCATACCACACAGTATGTCACAATTTGTCAGCATACCAAACAGTGTCGTATAGATTCTCAGCATACCCGATAGTGTCCTACAGTTTTTCAGGATACCAGACAGTCTTCCATTGTTTACCAGCATACCACACAGTATTTCACAATTTGTCAGCATACCAGATAGTGTTCTTAGTTTGGTTAGCATACCAGTGTTCCACTGTTTGACAACATACCAGACAGTGTCCCACAGTTTGGTTAGCATACCAGTGTTCCACTGTTTGACAACATACCAGACAGTGTCCCACAGTTTGTCAATATACCAGACAGTGTCCCACAGTTTGTCAATATACCAGACAGTGTCCCACAGTTTGGTTAGCATACCAGTGTTCCACTGTTTGACAACATACCAGACAGTGTCCCACAGTTTGTCAATATACCAGACAGTGTCCCACAGTTTGTCAATATACCAGACAGTGTCCCACAGTTTGGTTAGCATACCAGTGTTCCACTGTTTGACAACATACCAGACAGTGTCCCACAGTTTGGTTAGCATACCAGTGTTCCACTGTTTGACAACATACCAGACAGTGTCCCACAGTTTGGTTAGCATACCAGTGTTCCACTGTTTGACAACATACCAGACAGTGTCCCACAGTTTGGTTAGCATACCAGTGTTCCACTGTTTGACAACATACCAGACAGTGTCCCACAGTTTGTCAATATACCAGACAGTGTCCCACAGTTTGTCAATATACCAGACAGTGTCCCACAGTTTGGTTAGCATACCAGTGTTCCACTGTTTGACAACATACCAGACAGTGTCCCACAGTTTGGTTAGCATACCAGTGTTCCACTGTTTGACAACATACCAGACAGTGTCCCACAGTTTGGTTAGCATACCAGTGTTCCACTGTTTGACAACATACCAGACAGTGTCCCACAGTTTGTCAATATACCAGACAGTGTCCCATAGTTTGTCAATATACCAGACAGTGTCCCACAGTTTGTCAATATACCAGACAGTGTCCCACAGTTTGTCAATATACTAGACAGTGATTCACAGTTGGTCAGCATACAAGACAGTTTCTAACAGTTAGCCAGCATAACAGACAGTTTCCGAAATCATGTGGCCTTGTTTTTGGGACAATCAAAAAACATTTTGAGGTTTAATTTTGTGAATGAAAATTGCAAAAATAACTGTTACTGTAATTATGTTAAGTTTTCATGTTTTTTTTTTTTTTTTTTTTGTCAGCTGCAACTATCATAACAGACCCTACATTGATTTATCGGTTACTAATTAATTAGTATTAGCTGTAATTGTTTATTAAGTACAATACACTGGGATGTGTATTGAGACTACAATATATAAATAATACTAGTAATTAGTGATTCATGTATTTATATCCGATGATGAACAATTATAGGAATAGTATTATTTAAATAGAATTTTTTATGGGAGATAACCTACTTCAAAAACGCAGAGTTACACAAAAGGTGTAATGAAATAAAAATATCGTAAATAACTAGTCTGATTTTACAAGCTAAAGGCACCCAGTAATAATTTTAAATGGTAACACAAGACATATATGCCACACAAATAAAACAGAAACAAAACAAAACAAAAAATAAAATTCTTTACATATTGGTATATCTGGATTTTAAAGACTTCTTTATCCATTCAAATAAAGACATTGCATTTAATTGTGGTTCACATAATAGTAATCTTATTGTAACATAATGAACTGAAGGTAATCGATAAAGAATATAACTGAGTCTATATGAAATTTTTATTAGTACAAAATGGTACATTTTAACTGTATTGTAGTTGAAAGTTATTTGAGGTCATTGTTTCAAGCTCTGTATTCCAGTAAACAACACTCAATGATTGATACAAGGGATAAGCATTGTTCATTGCAGGGCAGATAAAACTGTTCAGCCAAGAAATGAAGCAGTGAAGTGTTGCCAGGCTTAGGAGAGCAAGTAAATCTGGTGTTTTTTGATGGCTTTAATCATATAAAAACCACCTGTATCATACACCAAGTAAACATGTTTTACTTTAAAATAGTTCACTGTTGTATTTTTCTGTTTGTTTCTTGCTCAATTCCTGAACCGAGGGTCAAATTGATTCACACATACTTTATTGTACAATTACAATCGGATTAGGCACAAGTTATCACAACTCCGTATTGCCTTCACTGGGGGTCAAAAGTTCTTATCTATTACACACTTACCCACTAAATACATGCTCTGTTTCCTAAACATCAATAAAGAAAAACAAAAATTCCTGAAGTGGTGTTTTTGAAATAATATCGAGAAATGCATCCAGTGTTATCGTGAAAGAGTGAGTTGATTGGTGAGTGAGTGAGTGAGTGAGTGAGTGAGAGAGTGAGAGTGTTTGAGTAAATGTGTGAGTGATTAAGTTAGTGAGAGAGTGAGTAGGGGATTAAATGAGTGAGTGATTGGGTGAGAGAGTGGAAGGATGGGTGGATGGGTGAGTGATTGAGTGGGTGAGTGATTCAGTTGGTGAGTGATTCAGTTAGTGAGTGAGTGAGTTATTCAGTGAGTGAGTGAGTGAGTGAGTGAGTGAGTGAGTCAGTGAGTGAGTGAGTCAATGAGTGGGTCAATGAGTGAGTCAATGAGTGAGTCAATGAGTGAGCAAGAAAGTGAGTGAGCTATAACGACTGTAAAACTTCTCATTAATTTTCATCAACATGCATCTTTTGAAACTTCATGTTACGAGATTGTCCGCCAGATGACGGCTCCTTGCACGAAAATCATGATAATGGGAACAGGCTCTCGAATATCGAATCAGCTCTGACATGTAAACGCCATAGGTAGGTCTGGTCTGTTGGGAAACATCTTACCATCAAACTTCATACTGTGAAAGGAAAAACACTTTTTTCCAATGAGATCATTTTGGCGACTCTGAAATTTCCCCATTACCCACATAACACACATACCCCCTACACACATCACCACCACCACACACATATAACCCCCCAACCCCCAAAAGCACACACTCCCCACCACCACCTCCACACACACATGTACCTCCCCCCACACACACGTTCCCCACCACCATCACCACCACATACACATTACCTCCCCCCACACACACACTCTCCCCACCACCACTACCACCACCACAACCACCAACCACTACCACCACACACACATCACCATCACACACACAACACACACACACATGTACCTCCACCACACACACACACACACACACCACACACCACCACCACACACCACCACCACCACCACACATGTACCTCCCCCCACACACACACCACCAACACCACCACCACCACCACCACCACACACACATATATTATTTCCGCTTCTAGATAAAGCAGTATGACCGTAAGATTGGTACCCTGATTCTTTTCTCAAGCATAATTCTGATTATTAAACCCTAACATTATTTTTCCTGTAACCTTCGTTAGGATTTTGTCAATTACCAATATCTCGTGTACTCTTGTTTCAGATGTTTACCAGTACATACTCCCTACACACATCACCACCACTACACACATATAACCCCCACCCCCCAAAAACACACACTCCCCACCACCACCACTACCACCACCACAAATACATATCCCACACACACATCACCATCACAACCACACACATATACCCTCCTCCCACACACACTCCCCAACACCAACACCACACACACATGTACCTCCCCCGCCACACACACTCCTCCTCCTCCTCACCACCACCACCACCACCACCACCACCACACACATATACCCTTCCCTCACACACTCCCCCACAAACACTCCCCACCACCACCACAACCACCACCACACACACATACTCCCCACACACATAACCACTACCACCACACATATATACCCTACCCCCACAAACACACATATACACACTACCACCACAACCACACACATATACCTCCACAAAAACACAAACACATCACCACTACCACACTACCACCACACAAATATACCCTCCCCCTCACACACACATACTACCATCGCCACCACCACAAACACACACACATATATATACACATCACCACCACAACCACACACATATGCCAACCACAAACACACTCAAACACATCACCACTACCACACTACCACCACATACATATACCCTCCCCTACACAAACACACACACACACACACAAACACACACATACATACACACACACATATATACACACACACATACACACTCCCCAACACCACCACCACTACCACCACCACAAATACATATCCCACACACACATCACCATCACAACCACACACATATACCCTCCCCCCCACACACTCCCCAACACCAACACCACACACACATGTACCTCCCACAAACACACACTCCTCACCACCATCACCACCACACACATGTACCTCCCCCCCCACACACACTCCCCACCACCACTACCACCACCACAACAACTAACCACAACCACAACACACACATAACCATCACCACTTCACAAATGTACCTCCCCACAAACACAACCACTCCCCACCACCACAACCACCACCAAACACGCACATGTACCTCCCACACACACACACTCCCCACCACCACCACCACCACCACCTCCACCAGCAACCACTACCACCACACACACATCACCACTACCACCACACACATATACCCTT